AGTGGCAGGGTCTGGATTTCAATCCTGCTTTAGCCAAGGTGGCTCTGGTGTTTTGAGCGCTTACCCATGTATCCATAACTAACTTGCTGCCCGTCAAGTTGGTTCTACCGCATCCAAAACGCACTGCCGTAGAGTCGATGCTGACTCTCATTGAAGTAGAAAGCCCCATCTTTCTCCTGAGACGTGGTTGAGGGTTTCGAACCGCTGATCTTGCAGTTAGGAGCCCAACACGTGACCTATCTGCCCCCAGGATTCTGCATCATCATAAGCCTATAAAACCCCCAAACCAAACTCACTGCGACTCAGCATGATCCTACAGGACGAAGTAGGGCTGCTCTTTGGGTTTCTGGGACAATAAATCTTCATGGGAGCAGATGGCCTCATCTTTCTTCTGAGGGGTGGCTTATGGATTTGAACCACCAACTCTGAGGTTAGCAGAGTCAAGTCGAATCAGCTACTATAGGGTCACTTCCTTTAAGTGCCTCTGAGTGTCTTCATGTCCTCTATCTCTCCTCTCCCCTCATTCCAGTTTTGTTTTGTTTTTAATGAAATTGCTTGTCCCTGTTTTTCCTCCTCCACTTTCCATAGGAGCCCTGTTGGCACCGTGTGTTAAGCACTGGGATGCAGGCGATTCGAACTCACCAACTGAACCCCCTGCTGGAAAAGCTTGTTCCTGTAAAGTGTGCCGTTAGGTGCCACGGAACCAGTTCTGACTCACTGCCCTGTCCTGCGCCATCCCCACAATTGTTATGGTTGGGTCCATTGTGGTGTCCACCTGTCCTGTGAAAATTACAGATTCAGAAACCCTGTGGGGACGTTTCTGTCTTTAGGGTCATTAGGGGTTGGGTTCCGAAGAGCACTGGTGACGTTGTGGGTTATGCATTGCACTACTAACCACAAGGTCAGCCGTTTGAACCTATCAGCCACTCTGCAGGAGAAAAGGGAGGCTTTCTGCCCCTTGACTTACAGCCTCAGGAATTTCAAAAGGGCGGTCCTGCTCTGTCCATAGTGTCCCTGTGAGTCTTGATGGCAGGTGTGGTGTTTTATAGGGCCACTATGAGACAGACAAACGGAGCCCTGGTGGCGTGGTGGTTCCACACACAGTGGGCTGTTAACCTCAAGGTGAGCAGTTCAAATCCACCCAGCACTCTGTGGAATAGAAAGATAGAGCTTTCTATTCCTGTAAAGAGTTAGTCTGGTGGAGGGCAGAGTGGAGACCCAAAGCCATCTGTAATCAGCTGGACATCCCCTTTCAGAAGGATCACAAGGAAGAGACGAGCCAGTCAGGGTGCAGTTTAGTACTGAAGAAACACACAACTTTCCTCTAGTTCAGTGGTTCTCAACCTATGGGTCTTGACCCCTGTAGGGGTCGAACAACCCTTTCACAGGGTGGCCCAATTCTTAACAGTAGCCAAATTACAGTTATGAAATAGCAACGGAAATAATTTTATGGTTGGGGGTCACCACAACATGAGGAACTGTATTTAGGGTTGTGGCATTAGTTAGGTTGAGAACCACTGCTCTAGTTCTTTAATGCTCCCTCCCCCCACTATCATGACCCCAATTCTACCTTGCAAATCTGGCTAGACCAGAGGATGTGCACTGATACAAATAGGAACCAGAGACACAGGGACTCCCGGACAGATAAACCCCTCAGGACCAATAATGAGAGTAGCGATACCAGGAAGGTAAGGGAAAATGGTGGGCGTATGGGGGAACCAATCACAATGATTGACATATAACTCCCTCCCAGGGGGACGGACAACAGAGAAGTGGGTAAAGGGACAGGGTAAGACATGAAAAAAAGATAAATTATCAAGGGCTCATGAGGGAGGGGAAAAAAAGAGCAGATACCAAGAGCTCAAGTAGAAAGAAAATGTTTTGAAAAAGATGATGGCAACATATGTACAAATGTACTTGACACAACGGATATATGCGTGGATTGTGATAAGAATGGTAAGAGCCCCCAATAAAGTGATTTTTTAAAAAAGTTACTGTTGGAATTTCACAGGGGCAGGTCCACCCTGTCCTGTGTCAGAATAGACTTTGATGGCAGTGGCTTTGGTTGGTTTTGGGGGTTTTTTTTTGGGGGGGGGGCGGGTATGAGACAGGAGCCCTGATGGCATATTGTTGGCTGGAGTTAGGCTGCTAACTGCAAGGTCAGCAGATCCCAACCACCAGGTGCTCCACAAGCGAACCAGGAGGCTTGCTGCTTGATGCATCCTGGCCACGGGAAGATTCCCAGTCTTGGAAACCCACAGGGACAGTTCTACTCTGTCCTACAGAGTCCCTGTGAGTCCAAACCCACCTGATGGCAGTGGCTTGGGGTTTTGTGAGACAGGATGAACTCATGGCCACGACGCTGCAGCATGAGTTTGGATTTGGCCACTATCCGTCTTCCTCCGATTCCCTCCAAGGGCGTCTGGAGCCTCGATTTCTCCGTTTCCTCCCTCCACGCGTAGGGTAGGGAGCCTGAGGGGTTGAATCGTTGGGCTGTGAAACACACGGTCGTCGGCAGTTCGAAACCACCAACTGCTTGCTCCTATGCTGGAAAAGATGGGGCTTTCCCCTCCTCTAAACAGTTACAGTGTCAAAAACCCACTGGGGGAG